TCACTGCCCAGAGCCAGCTGCTCCCTTTACAACCGACACGCGGACCCGCCCAGGGTGGCAGGAAGCGAGTGCTGGGGGGCGGGGCGGGGGGCAGAAAGGGCCGGAACGTCTCCGGAAACCACGGCTGATGGACAGCTGGGCGGAGAGCCCGAGGGTCCGGTGTCCCCCGGGCACAATCACTGCCCTCGGAGACCAGTGTGCCCTCCGGCCCCAGGCAAAGGCGTGCGGCCTGCGCTGCCTCACGTGGTTCAGACACAAGTGGAAGGCCTGCTCCTGACCAGCAGGTCTCGGGGCTGAGGCCACAGCTGCCTTGCTGCCGACCTCTGGGTCCAACCAACGCACCTGTCCCCGCTCAGGGCGTGCGCAGAGCGATGTCCCGCCCAGGACCGGAGGACGGAGCTCTCCCGGGCCGGGTGTGTGTGTGTGCGCACGCGCGTGTGTGTGAAATGCTGACGCTCCCAAGGAGGGGCGTGGACAAGGGGCCTGGGCAGCGGGCGGCAGAGGCAGGTCAGGGACAACCGGTACTTTCTTAGGTCGAGGTCACGGAGACACATTCTTTCTTCAAAACAACCCCCGACGCTGGACTCAGATGTCAGGGTGGACGGGCTCCTGCCCAGGGACCTGCCCAGCAGGTGTTAGTTCCCAGGCCCGTGAGGCTGATGTGGGAGGGGAACAGCGACGACAGGGGCTTCCTGGCGTCACCCGCACGGCGGCAGCTCTGCCCGGCTCACCAGGCCGACTGCTGAGGGCGCGGTGGCCGCGGACAGTGAGAGGGGTGGCCGTGGCCCAGGGAGGGGGGCAGCGGGCATACCTCAGGTGCTTCGCCAGTGCCAGCAGGACGTACAGGAACTCGTTGACCAGGTGCAGGGCCAGCAGCTTCGGGGGCGCCTGGGTTCCAGGCGGGCTGCCCGCCTCCGCGCCCCTGCCCCTCAGGTTGGTCACCCACAGCGTGTGCAGCAGGTCGATGATGCTGGACAGCAGCTGCGTCTCCAGGAACCTGGACGAACAGCTGCTCAGTCACAGCCCCTCCCACCGGCACCTGCGAGGGGGCGGGCCCTGGAGCGGAGGACGAGGTGGTGTCCGTCCCTCCCAGAGGGGGTGGGGGGTGAGGCCCAGCAGGCGTCCCAGCCCCACCGTCCCACTGGCTTAGCCCCCGCAGCCCACACAGGTACAGGGTCCAAGTGGGAGCAGGCGCCTGCCACACCCCCAACTTCACACAGCACGGCAGCTGCTGGCTTCATGAGAACTCCCTTCCCACAGCCAACAGCCAACAGCCACGCGGCCGCCCCAGGCCGTGTCTGCCAGCCGGTGCCCAGATGCACTCCTTCAGCGATGACAAAATGCTCCCGAGATCGCACCAGGGCCTGGCCGCCCTGGCTAGTCTGAGAGCAAGGTGAGCCGGGCAAGTCCCTCGCAGAAGTGCAGTCTGGGACGGGATGCCACCCTCCAATTAGGAGACGGTGAGGAATTAGATCGGCTCTGGACTGACTGCGCCCCTCCCCGTTCCTGTGGAAGCCCTAACCCCACGTGGCTGTGGCTGGGCTCAGATGAGGTCAGGCGGGTGGGGCCCGCAGTGGGATTAGTGCCCTGTGACAGGAGAGACTCTCCCACGTGAGGATGCAGAGCGGTGGCCGTCCGCGAGACAAGGACAGAGGCCTCCCAGAACCCGCCCACTCGGGGCTCACCTGCCCTCCAGCGCGTGCAGGACCCAGGTCAGGAGGCTGTAGTCCCGCAGGAGCTCGTAGGCGGCCCCGGCGTCGCGGGCGGCGCTCTGCAGGATCTCCAGAACCCAACCCTGAAACCCAGGACGAAGCCGTCCGTGCTGACGGCCCGCAGCCTGCACACCTCCGCGTTTTTGATGACTGTTGAAGACACCGCGCCGGGCGTACAGCTGGTAGCAGTGCTTGTCGCGCAGGCCCTGCCGCAGGAGCCCGAACAGCCACTCCCGCTCGGTGCTGTGCTGCGGCCGGAGACAAACGCCTGCCCGTCAGAGCCGCGGCTGCACCTCCAATTCACGTGGGGCACTGGGCAGCCGGCCCCCCGCTCCTAACCAAAACCCTCCCATCACCTTCCACTCGGAGGACAGGGGCAGGGGCCCTATGAACGCGCGTGACCTTGACCCCACGACACAGGGAGAGACAGTGATGAGAGCAAGTGGAGACTGAGGCTGCCGGAGATGAGCCATGGACGACGCCCACTCCCCCACACAGGCCCGCGTGACCGAGCGCCGGCCCGACCTGCTAACACGGCACAGTCGTGCGCGTCGTGGTCACAGCTAGGAAGCCGTGCGGAGCGCGGGCCTCACCTGGAAGTCCGAGCTGTAGAAGAACTGGAAGAAGCCGGGGACCTTGCTCATGTTCAGGTCCTCGTGTGACAGCAGGAACTTGTTGATCTTCAGGTACATGTGCTCCTCTGGACAGGGCAGAGGGGCGCTTACACCAGGCCCGTGGGCACCGCCTGCTGCAGCGGGCGCACGGGCGTGGGCAGACACGGACCCCGCCTGCGGGTGCTGCCCTCGCATCCCAGCTACTGGCTCTCGAGCACGGAGTGCAGCCAGACGCTGGGTCTACACTGCACACAAGCTTCTTGGGGCTCAGAAACCACTGCAGGGACCGCACCCCCGCCTCTGCCCTGTCATCGTTCCTGCAGAAATGCCAACCGGCCTGGGCGGAGTGGACCAGGCCCCACAGACCGTGCAGGGCCAGCACCCACCACCGGCTCCCAGTAAAGGGGCTAGACGCCCAGGGCCACTGGTCCCGAGGGCAGCAGGTGACATGGGCAGACACCTCCTCCCCTGCCGCTTCCCACCCTCGGGTCAGACTCCGCCCGCAGCGACCCCGTGACCGCAGGTCTGACCTGGGCACCCTGCACCGGCCTCTCACTCAGTCTTCCTGGGTTTGGTCCCACAGGGACCCTACAGCGCCTCCTCGCAGCCACCAGCTCTCCCGTCGGCCCGAGGCCCCGGGGGATGCCCTGGCCATCCTCCCTCCTCGTGGCGGACCCTGCTCAGCCTCCACGTTCCGATCCCGCCTCACCCTCGCCCTCGCCCTCGCCTCTGGTACCTGGCTTCAGAATCTGCAGGGCGGCTTTGGCCACGAAGAGCGCCAAGGTGAAGGTGAGCCTCATGTTCTGAGTGCGGATCCCGTTCCGCACGACATCCAGCAGGTAGAGCACCTGGAAGCAGGAGAGAGCGTCTTCGGACCCGGGGCCAGCCTGGCCCTGCGCAGCCTCAAGCACAGCCCTGCAGGCGCCTGCTCCCCGCGTCCCAGGGTCGCACATGGCCAAGGGCAGAGAGAGCCCTGGCTCCAGGCTGACGATCCAACCTGCTCCTGTCCTGCCCCCGGGCATCGTGGCTGGACAACAGCCGCCTTAAACACCGAGTTTAAACCAAAGGAAGAGCCAGAGGCAACCGAGCCGCTTTGCCCATCGACGACGTGAGGGTGTGTGTAAGGGGCGACCCGTCTGGCTGCCCGCACGCCCCGCAGGAGGGACGGGGGTCTCCCGGCAGCTCGGCCTGCAGCCTCGGCCCACTCACCTGGGGCTGCTCTCGGAACCGGGCCCCCTCCACGTGTGAGTAGTAGGCCGCCAGCACGGAGTAGGCGGCGGCTCGCATCTGGGGGTCATAGCTGCTGAGGGCCGCGGCGGTCAGGCCCAGAGCGTTGGAATCCACAAACTTTCGGCAATCCACCACAAGCTCTACGGGAAGTGAAACAGCGTGAATTACACACGCATGCACCGACTCCATGATGCTGTGTGACACGCGAATTAAATGTCCTTTGCAGCTCACCAACATCAGGTACGTGTGCTAGAAACTGCCATAAATTGATTAGTAGCATAAACCCTAAAGCAACACACACACACTGTAGCTAAAAGCCAAGGAAAATACAGTTGTATCAACACATTAAATGGAAGTGACATATACATTCCAATGAAGAGGCAGAGGTGGTGAGATCAGATAAACACGCAGAACCCAGCGCCTCTGCCCACAGGAAGCCACTCCAGCGCTGCGGGGCGGGTGAGAAGTGAGGACGAAGGGCACTCAGACCCCGGGCTCCAGCAGGAGGTCACGGTTAACCGGCCTCTTCCCAACGGAGGGAAGCAGCCCCAGAGCCTGCGAGGCATCGACGGGAGTAAACGCAGCACGCGGGGGAGAGGTGCAAAGATGCACGTGTGACCTGTCGGCTAGCACAGTGGGTGGGTCCCTCTGGGATCGATGCTTGCTCACTGCCTGCCAGCAGGCGGGCACTTCGGTGGTCATGACCTTCTCCGAGACAGCGGGTCCCCACGTGTCGTGAGGAAGGCCGTGCTGTGCTGTGCTCTTCCCTGTCGCTGTGAAGCCAGGGCCTGGTGACCAGAAGGGCCCTGG